TGAATGGTGCGCGTCTGTCAGGCCTAAAAGGAAAGAAAATTTTATGCTGCAAAACTCGAAAACAATAAACCTACCCTATGTAATCACCAAGCTATATCCATATTCTTGTCCAAACTATTTTCTTAATGTAACATGAGCCGCGTTATTTGAATATACATTACCTCGTTTACTCATGTCGAGTGTCTTCTGAAAAAATTCTCCAGTGAATGAAAACACGTTCAAAATGCTTCAAGACACCGCAGTGACTGCAACTCGGCAAATTCACCGAAAACATCACCCATCGAGCACAATGGCAGCTGTCAATAAGTTAAGTTGTTATCCAGTCAGAACAAGCACAAAACTCACCCGCAGCGAGTTCGCGCGCGCTGGCGGCACTGCGCCAAAAATACTCTGTGAAATCCCTTTTATCTTGTTCGCCGACCAAAAGGGCCTTCGACCATGGACGTGAATGCGGATCATGGTACTGACGCGTCTGAAGTGGTTAATGTCCAAAGTGGTTTAGAAGGCAACACAAGGTATGTTTACTGGTAAATAGCCTGAAATGATTTACTATGTGCTTATTTCTTTTGGAAAGCTTTAAATCTGTTGGTTCAAGTATCGTTTTACTGACGACGATTTACGCTTTGTATTTATTCTCAGTGATAACGTCCAAGAAAATAAAACTAGGAGAGTCGGTTCTAGAGGAAAGGAAAAGCTTCAATATGTGGAAAACGCCTCTCAAAGGAAGGTTACGTTGTCGCGTCGCAAGTCAACTTTATTCAAAAACGCATTTAAACTGCACGTCATGACCAACGCGGAGGTCTTTCTAATTGTTCAGCCTACAAAGCAACACCGTATAGTGTGGGGATCTCCGCGTCTCATGGGAGATTATGAAAATGGGGTCCTAAAGCCTACCGTTGGACAAGAATTACTTTCTCCCGGAGAAACAGGGGGATACAGTGTTGAAGGCGTCCAGAATGGGCCGGTAGTGGATCCTATGACTGCAACACCAGAGCAAATGGTTGACATGTCCCCTACTCTAGCAAACGTGCTTGGCCATGTTCCAAATACGAGCCGAATGTCAGAAACAACGTCGCCAATTACGGGCTTTGAAAACATTCCGAGTCCAGTTCGGGAAGTTTTGCGCCGGAGACCCAGAGCTAGACTTAATTTTAATGAAAAGGCCCCAGTTATCAGAGAACAAATGGAAATAACCTTTGTATCGGATGAGAACGTGATAACGGCAATAACTTGCATTAATGAATGACACTAACTTTTTATTAGTTTGTTTTCTTTCAAAGTACATTGAGCGTGGGTAACCTCTTCGTAACTGTAGCAAACACAAGACTTCTGTGATACTAGAGTTAGGCACTCCACAGTTCTCTATGAACGAAAGTTACAGTTTTTTAGACAAGTTTCTGTTATCAACTGAATACACTCACTAGGTGGCTGCCCTTATCCAGCACTCATTAGAGAGCAATAAAAGAGGCAAGCTTGAAACACTTCATCTTTATCAAGAACTACATGTACATGAATTTAAGCCAGTGAATCACCCCAAAATACCTGCCCGAGCCCCGGTGGGTGCCAGGTCTTGTTGAAAGCACTGCATAACTTTGGAACCAGAAATACATGCAAGTACAAGGCAAAAAAGCATTTCGACCCTGTTGAAAAAGTGATCTATCTTGTCAAATTGTAATCGCAGATACCCGGGGTGAGGTGTTCAAATGGGGAATTACAATTCCAATTACCAAGAGATCTTGGTTACTGGGCTGACCTGACCTGCCTCAATAGCCACGGCAGCTCATATGAAGAAACTCTGAATTAATAAATAAGTTACTGACTGTGGTGGTTACTTCAAATTCAATGACAAATGGGGCTAAAACCTTTTTGGATAACTGATATAAGGATTTGACTTTACTGACTGTGATAGAAAGGATATAATACATTACTGATATTTACACAATTTTTCATTACTCTCTCTCATCATACTGATCTTCAAAAAATACAACTTCCTCAGTGTCCACATCCTGTCTAAGTTCTTCACAAACTTCATGGAAGAAGGAGATCAGGATTTCTTTCCTTGTGGAAGACTGTCTTCTTTTAAGTTCATTAAACTTACTCTGGAGCACATCCTTTGCATCTTCATCAATAAGTAGATTGATTTTGTCTTCTGCTCTCTGGAGAATTTCTGCCTTTGACTGATTAGTGATGTCCTCCCCTTGGACCCTCTCTTCTGCAGTAGTGTACACAGTAGTTATTTTGACATCTGCTCTCGCCTTACCATCCACAAAGTGCTCAAGCAACAGTTGCCTTCTGTTTTCTTTCAGTGTGTCGTCCATCTTTGAGAGGTCTTTGTCTAGGACTGTACCACTCAGTGATAAATGCTGAGTTTGGTTGCCTAATAAATACCTGTAGTTAAACCAATGATGGGAAAAAAAACAAAAAAACAAGAAGTATAAAACTCAAGTTTAAAATATCAGCAATTTCAATCCTAAGGGTTTCTAAGTTTAGGAAACAAGCTCCCAAATTTACGTTAATTTGTACAAAACATTGTACTGTTAAACATTCACAGAGAGGATGCACCTCAGAAAAAATACTACTGAAAAGCTTTCAAATGAATAGTCAGTTAAGGTCAGATCACACTGTCCTTGTACAGTGTATGCGCATGTTCAGTTTCATTGGAATGACTTAACTTTCTACTTTAAGTACGTAAGGCGGGAAAGTTACAGCAGACAACACATACACAACTCTTCAATGAGTATGGAGACTGACATACCCCTCTCTTCGAAGCTTGATTCTCCATGCCAGCACTTCCTCCTTAAAGTCATATTTTATCCGTGAAACTGCAGCATCTTCCTTGGGATCACACATCCCAATTAAGGATAACAGCCAGTTTCTTAACTAGAACAATGAATGAATGAGTGATCAGTTAACTAATGGTTTAGGGCAGAATGACACATACAAACACACACACAAAACAAATCCAGGTGTCATTTAAGCAGGTGTCGATTTCAAGCTAGAATTCTTGAGATTTTGAATCTAAACTGAAAGTGACAGATGTAGAGATGTGGCTTTGTTATAGAGGTTTCCCAAGAAGAAACCACATGACAATAACAAAGGAATCAAAGTCAGTCAAAAAGAAATTTTAAAAAATCCTTATCATTTGTTAAAACTGCTTCAAATCACTGATAAAAATCAAGTAATGAATGGTAGTCTTCTACAGGTTAAAACCTAAACAAAGCAGATTGCAAGTCAACTCTTTACACACTGAGAATGATTCGCGCCATCTCTAACTGTCAGTCTCAAAAAGTTCAACAAAAAGTAGGACAGGGCCCGACACTTACATATAAAGTATCCACTATGTGACATTTAACTTTAGCTCAATTCATCACAATGATGAAAAGGACTAATTTGTAGTAAAAAGAGGAAGTGTTTGCATCTTTACACATGCCTCTACCATAAATAAAAAAATTACCTTTGTACCGGCACTTACATTGGTTAACTTTCCGAGATTACGAAAGATTCTTAACCAGTCAATGGCAGTCATTCCTCCATGTTGCCACACTTTGGAGTCCTTGTTCTTCTCTTCCAGGTTTGCATCCATGCATTCTCCCTTGCTTGGGTTTCCAGATGTACTTATGGATTCTGTATTGATCACAAAGCTTGCAAGTTCTGGAGGAAATGATGCTCGGTCCACACTGAAAAGGAAGAAAAAGTAATAACTGAAACAAACGAAAAATAATAAATTATTGCCACTAAAGTGGAGTACATTTCATTTCATGCTATGGGCAACATGAAGATCAGTAGCAACCTTCTGATTGTGACAAGCAAACCAGTATCAATAATAAATTGTTAAACAATTTTAAGTCAAACACAAATTTAAACCACAACATATGTATTGAATTCATGTACTAAATGAGTTGGACTTAACTCTATGACTGCAACTTGTAAACATCACTTAATTCATTCAACAATTAGATTGCATGTACTTAATGACATTATCAGATGATTATTAATTCTTATGTAAACAAAATACTTATCTAATCAACCTCCTTTATACATGGAGTAAATAAAGTCACAAATTAAGCAACATTGTTAATGTCCATATTCAGTTTATTACAGTTTGAGTGCAACATGTTCACATACACCGTACAAAAATTTATGACAAACAGTATACAATGAGTCAAAATACTCATATGTGTTAATCAAAATTGAAATGATAGTTATCAGACATACAGTGTAG